GGGTGCGCAAAAGGAAGATGGCAACACACACTGTGACGTTACACTTGTCGATCAAGGCTGCAGTTAATACATAGGCCCGGCTGCGTAAGCAAGGCATGAACAGTTTGATAAGCGATTAATGTATTACCGTTTGCAAAGAAACAATTAATAATTTATTAATTTCTTCGATAACTGGGTCAATTTTAAATTGTAAGTAACCCAATTCATTAATTTAAACAGTACAGTAAGAATATATTTGTCATAAATTATTATTTTATTACTTTATTATAAAATTATATCATACTTTGCAGTGATCATATTATATAAAATTATATATTTTAGAAAATGTTACGTTTAAGAATATTTCTTGTAATATTTGTCGCGATATATTGAAATGTCCATGCAAATTATAATTACAAATATTTTATAAAAAAATGTATAATTATATGTAAAATGTGACAATCGATAAAGAATATTTTTAGATAGTTTCGAATATAGGTTTATAGAAAAATGATATTGGAACATGAAGCTAATGTAAAACCAGACAAAAATCAATGTGAAATTTTTAGTCTGGCGATTTTAGTAGTAGATGAAGTTGACGTTTCATATAAGTCTTTACCACAAAAAAGATCGCAGGGTTATTTAAAATTTTCGAGATTTCATAATAATTCGATAATTCTTAAATTGATAGAATTATTATGATTTGATACTTAATGTATCAAAACATCTATTATTTTTTTATTTCTAAATAGCTTATATTTTTGATCTCTCGTGCTCTTTTTATTTGTTGCATTTGACATATCGAGCTTAATTAATTTCACTAATTTGCTTTTTACTCAGATATTTGCTATTTCTATTTTTTTTATTAAAATGTTTTTTGAAAATATAAAGCAATCAATGTCTTATAAATTTATTTTTCTTAACTATTTTGAAATAAAGCTGAAACATTTAATAATGCTTAATAACATATAATAATGCTAACATTGTGTAATATCTTGTACTCTTTACTTTAAAAGTTGATAGAAAATATGTTTTGAAGAATGTTCTCGACACGATATCATCCACATACTTTGCTCTTGTCTCTTTGAGAGAGGATATGACCCAATTACGCCCACAAAAGGGGATAGCGCATATCGCGTATATAAAGTTTCATAAATAGCACATGGACGAGATTACTCTCTACCCTGTTCTCTTCGAGTGCAGGAAGCTGCATACATTCTTAGCCTGTTTTATTTAGGTAGTCGAGCGAAATACTGCCGTCTTTTCCTCCCGCTTGTTGTTTCGTCCTTATTGCGTCGCATGCATTTTTAAACACGATTCCTTCGAGATAGCGTAGGAGTGATGTACGATGCAGTCGATATCGTGCAATGTCATAAGAGGTTGACGCTCTAATTCCGCAGGAGTGTATGCTGGCACACCCTAGAATGGCATGTCGATGCATCTTCCCCGAGATGGATATGTCGAATTAATATATGTGAAATGAAATTTAGCGACATAGCGTTTATAGCCATATCATATATATTCGTAGCCTGAATATGTCACAATGTATGAAAGAATATGTTGTCATCACAAAATATATAATACAATTAAAAAATATACGGCATATATATATATATATAT